TTTCTCATATTTGACAAGTGACACTTTTTTTGTTAACAGCAATAATGCACCATCTTGGTCGTTCACTTGGTCTTGACTGTGACTGTCAGGATTTACATACTTGTGAGGTGATAGTACAGGGTGCAGGTCAGTAAGATCCTTTGCAATAATGTGGACTTATTTGTATGGAGGGGGAGGAAAAGAATGAAGTGGAGGAGAGAAGATGAGAGGTGATGAGGAGAGATGAAAGAAAAGCAAATGAGGAAAGCACAGGTGGCATAGCGGTGTGAGGGCTCACCTCTCATCAATGCAACCCGAGTTGGAGTCCAGCTGGGTTTGGTGTTGTATATGAGTAGAGTTTGTTTGTTAGTTCCCTGTGCTTTGAGGGTTTTCAGGGTTCTCTGGTTTTCCTCCCTCCGCAAAAATCAACTCCTAAATTCCAATTCAATCACGGAATGAGGGCCACAGGTTTGTTAGCCACTGGCTGTTAAGTGCTACCCTCGTGAAAAAAGGATGTTTTTTTAAAATGAGAGTAGAGGAGGGGAGACAACGCAAAAGGAAAGGAGAGAAGAAAAGATGAGACAAGACAATTGCAATAGGTAAAATGAGACATAAATAAGGCAAGAGGAGACAATTGAGATGAGAAAAAGAGAGAGATTAAGACTAGGAATATCAAGAAGAGAGAAAAGGAAAGGCAAGAAGAGAGGAGTGAAGATGTGAAGATGAGAGGGGAGGAGACCATTATAGAGGAAAGAAAATGTGATGAAATGGAATGAAATTAGACAAGATGAAAAGAAAGGAGATGACTAGAAGTGACAAGAAGAGAGGAGATGAAGGCGAGAGATGAGGAAGGGCAAGGAGGAGAGGAGTGACTATGAGAGAGGAGGAGACCACTTTAAACAAGTTACAGCCATTCTCAATCACACATGCCGCTCTATCAATAATTGTTTTTGTCCCAACGTGCTGGACATCAATCAAGGCATTTCCATGACATGCTATAGGCAAGTGCCCTTATAGCTTTGTGTTTTCCCWCAATGTTATGGAAACGCCTTGTGATTGACGTCCTCCAAAACCTTCTTCGTCGTGACAGAAACAATCACTAGAGGGCATGTGTGATTGACAATGGCTGTAAAAGAATACAAGAGGAAAATGGAGGAAAGAATATGAAATGAAATAAAATGAGAGGAGAGAAGGGGTGAGTGTCAAAAGGTTTGAATTTCTTTTTACTTAAAAAATAATAGTATTTCCTTCACAGATGATCTTAGAAACAAACTTGGACCAGTCATGTACAGCTCATCATTTTCCCCACAAACCAAAGATCAGCATATCAACGAAGTCGTCATCCCCTGGCTAAGATACTTTGAAAGATTAGCACCTCCCCCACCTAATATAAAGGACTCCCAAGCTGAAAAAACACCTGAAGACCAATCTGAAACAGAAGAAATCCAAATGATGTTCTGGGTAGGGGATCGTATAACATGGGTTGACTATGTTGTTTTTGAGCTCCTAGACACCCATGTTGAGTTTGGTAATCTTGGTTTTAATGGTAAAGCCACACCAATTGATGTGCTTGAGAAGTACCCTAATTTGAAAGCATTTTATGAAAATTTTAGCAACCGACCAAAGTTGGCCAGATATCTAAAAGCGGCACACAGGCTTCCATTCTGGAAGTATAGAAGTTAATCTATCAAAGTTCAGTCCAAAATTTTGAAAATTTTTTTGAAGTATATATAATATAAGAGAGTCAATGCTTATGCAAAGCACTTCACATCAAATTCTTTATAGTCTAGAGGGTTTACTATACACGTATATAACATCATCAAAGCTTCTTTGGGGTCATCATGCCATGTTGCACAATACTGCAAGATACATTGTTGATATTTCAATAGTGGTATTGCTTGATTGAAGGGTTTTGGTATCCATGGAAACCATGGGGATTTGTATTGAAGATGTTTATCCCTTCCTATGAAAATAAAAGGTMTAAAGACATGGCCGCCATGTTGGATGACATGACAAAAGAAATCAAGACCAAGTCTTTTCTTCCAATTATCCAACATGGGGAATATGATGTCACATGCACAAGGACAAAAGACATGGCCGCCATGTTGGATGACATAACAAAAGACACAAGACCAAATCTTTTGTTCCAGTCATCCAACATGGCGGCTATGAAGTCACATGCACAAGGACAAAAGACATGACCGCCATGTTGGATGACATGACAAAAGAAACCAAGACCAAATCTTTTGTTCAAGACAGCCAACATGGTGGCTATGACGTCGCATGCAAAAGGCCATAAGACATGGCCGCTATGTTGGATGACATGACAAAAGAAATCAAGACCAAATCTTTTGTTGCAGTCATCCAACATGGTGCTATGACGTCACATGCACAAGGACAAAAGACATGGMCGCCTTGTTGGAGGACATGACAAAAGAAACCAAGACCAAATCTTTTGTTGCAGTCATCCAACATGGTGGCTATGACGTCAGATGCGCAAGGACAAAAGACATGGCCGCCTTGTTGGATGACATGACAAAAGAAATCAAGACCAAATCTTTTCTTCCAGTCATCCAACATGGGGACTATGATGTCACATGCACAAGGACAAAAGACATGGCCGCCATGTTGGGTGACATGACAAAAGAAACCAAGACCAAATCTTTTGTTCAAGTCAACCAAAATGGCCACTATGACGTCACATGCACCAAAAGATTTTTTAAATATTATCCTGGAAAAATGTGGATGTGACATTACAATGGGTTCCTGTGATTTGCCAACAGTGGTACTTAGATTGACAARTCACAAAGGGAGAAAGAATGTTGCTCAAAGTTTAAAATGCCCTATCACTTGATGCGACATTTTCTAGATACGTAGCCAATATTAAGCAGGTTCATGTAAGAGTAGATGCATATCACTGGGACAAGATCAAGTGTCCGTAATAACAGGGTGTCCGTATTAAGCAGGTTCATGTAAGAGTAGATGCATATCACTGAGACAAAAACAAGTGTCCGTAATAACAGGGTGTCCGTATTAAGCAGGTTCATGTAAGGGTTCATGCATATCACAGTTCAAAAAAAAATTTGTTAAAAAATATATGTAAAAAAAAAAAACAAATACAAAACCAAAATATTAAATATTGAATTATTTCTCTTTTATAATCAACCCCTTCCCCTCTTCAATATCCTTAACTTTGTTCGTTTCCAGCACAGTTTTTTCCCCCAGCAATAAACTTGGGGTCGATAGTGATCAATACTATTCAAAGGCGTTAAAATTGTTGAAGGCAAAAATTGCTCTTATATTTTCTGAAATTCAAAAAGGCAGAAACCAGTTAGGATTTCGCAGACGTACAAATCAATACAAATCAGTAGTGAATTGAATTTTATTTTCTAACTCGTGTAAATTTATAGCTCGTTAATAATTTTTTTTCTTTTTGGCTCAATGGCCTGTGTTGTGAATATTCTGTTAATAGATATCGTGATTCCTCCAGTCCAACGAAGTCATGTGATTTACGAAATATTTCGTAGGACTATTAAATTATTAGGAAAATTAAACTATTAAATGAGAATGCTCGGTCACGGCAACGTCATGGTCGCGGCAGAGTCATGGTCACGGCAGAGCACTACTTAACCGTGACATTTGATAGTATAATATTCTACCCTATGTATTTATATTAATGAGGTATGCGGACTCCCACTCTGGCCTGGAACAAGGCCCATGTAACTCGGAGTGGCATATGTTAGGAGTTAGGTCAYGCTTGCTTGCGGAAGGTGGGCGGATGTGCGTTCGGCTCTGAYTCTCGCCGTCAAAATGTATTAAAGTGCGCAGAGGGACCACACTTCCATTATATATATAGTCTATTTACATATTTACAATTCTCTAGGGTATTCATTATAATATTCAAATGACTTTGAAAGGTATTTACTAAGCTAATTTTCTTAAATATTCAGTTTTATAGAGTGAAGTCACTAAACCCGTGAAATAGATATTAGACTAATACACTTTAGTAGACCCAAATTCCATTGCTTTCTTTTGTGTCTATTTGACTATTACACGTTGAATAGTATTTTTTATTTCACGGGTGAAATGCCTTCACTCTAATGATGAGCTAGAATAGCCTCATAGCTAGGCAGTTGACAGGTGCATTTTAAGTTATTCAAATATTAATCTTTCATTCAGTTGTTCTTTATCGTCAACTCGACAAGTCCCGAATTATATGCTATAGACCGTGCATACGTAACAGTTATGATCTGTGAGTTGTCTTGSATGTTCAGTCTTCTGTGCTTGCCGAACGCACCACATTTGATGCACTCCTCTCTCAGCGAATGTAAATTGCTCCACCAGGATTGGCTACATTGGTCAGATTATTATCGGATTTGGTACCACAAGGATCATGGACAGGCTGGCAATAGTCGGTTCTTCCTTCTAAATMAATATATTTATTTGTATTGAGCAGTATAGCTGGCCCGCAAGAGTTTGTGGTATCAAGCGTATTTGGAGCAACAGTGGTACAGGTTGGTGTAATCGCCTTGACAACTCTACAGGTCACACTTCCTGCCACCCAATTCACAAGACTTCCCGTTCCTTCTACACAGGCTACCCAGTTAGTGATATTAGGCTTCAGAAGGATCTCGTTACCAATCTTCTTCCACAGAGAAAAATCCATGGCCGAGCGAGAAGCCTCATTGATTGGAGTTGTCGTTGACTCTGGTACCGATTTTCCTAAAGGCTTGGCAACGGGCCAGTTTGGTATTGGAGTGACTGCATTTGACCCTGTTTCAAAATTACTGTACTGAGTAAATGTGTAGCTGTAGACAAGGGTCCAGCCTCCTCCATCGGTGGTCATGTCACAGAACACTTGGAATGGCGCAGAGGATGGCTCATTGAACTTCATCCAATAAACACCTGTTTTTACCTGGTTGTCAAGATTCTTGAACCATTTACAGGATAATATTGGGTTATGAGGAGAAAACCCGAGAGCATCTCGTATCTCCATGTAGATGGTGT